AAGTTTCTGGGCCAGAAGGCTGGGAGGGCTCATGCAGGGATTTGCCCCCGAGCTCAGGTCCTGGATCATCACAAGAAGCCAGCCTGGGTGGCACTGAGCACTGGCTAAGTCAGCACCATGCTGACTGCTCCAAGCAGCTGCCTGAGAATCCCCCTGGCCCCCAGCCTCTGCAGGCCCCGTCTATTTGAGAATCACCCTGGCCCCCAGCCTCTGCAGGCCCCGTCTAGGACAGGCCACGATCTTTGTGCATCTAAGTTGTCTCAGTCTGAGCTGGGTGAGAGCTTGACCTCCCACGGAACATGGTCTGCAGGAGGGAGTAGCTTGACTTACACCCTCATGAGACTCCACACGCGGTAGCTCAGGAAGACCCAGAGCCTGCATGGCACGCAGAGGACGCAGGCTGTGCACATGTGGTGCAGTGGTGGGAGGGTTGGGGAGCCCAAGGAAGAGAGGTCACATGGAAACCATAGATGACTCTGCTGCATACAGGATTGATGATCTGTTCCCCACGTCACCCTCCCTGGTTCTGCTGCATTGAAACTGCCCCTGTCAGGTCCTGATTTGGCTCTGCCCTGGGTGCAAAGAAATTGGGAGAGAATGAATTGACGAAGAGGCAGCCCAGGAGAATGGGCAGAGTGCAGGTCCAGGAGCAAAGGGCTCCTGCCAGCCTTAATGCTCAGACGGGCAGGACATGTGAGCCTGCACCTGCCCTGTCACATACCTCCGGGGCACCTGACCTACGTCCTGGTGGTGGAGGCAGATTAGCGAGTGTGAGGGGCTGGAGGCTGAGACAGCCACGTCATTAAGGAAATGTGGCCAGGAAGCCAGAAGTGCTGCCAGTGACAGCAGCTCTGCTCTGTGTCATCTGCTGGCATTTTGCCAATTAGGATGAGAACACAATCAGTGTCCCAGAATCCTTGCCCCGTGGGTTGCAGGGCCCTGTTCTGACATGGGCACCATGCGGTTTGGTCAGGGGCTGCTCCTGGGACCCCTAGTAGGGACAGCACCCCACCCAGCTGGCAGCTGCAGTGCAGAGGGGGTGCACAGCAGCCTTTGCACGTGCCCTATCAAGGTGGCACTAGGAAGCCCCCATGTCATGTGTGGTGTGCACAGGCAGTGGATGAATGAGAGGGTGGATGCACAATGGCACTTAGGATGGCAGCAACATCCACAAATCTCTGCATTCATGGGGGTGTTCTTTTCCAGGAGTTTATAGCTAGAGAAACGGAGACCAAAGGGGAGTGTGACGGGCCTGAAATCATAGGCCCGTGCATGCAGAACCAGGAGCATGGGCCGGGCCTCCCAAATCCTGGCCCTGGGCTCTGGTCAGGAGCCCGTTCTGCCTCTCACTAAGGCCCATCATAGCAACCCATGTGTTGAGCAAAGGCTGTGATAAAAAGGTTTCTGCAGCAGGTTCCTTCCTGCCAGGCGCAGAGGAGGAGAGTGATGGTGAGTGGCTCAGGAATGGCCCCTGGTCCTCTCTGGCCGATGTGTCCCTGAAAGTGAGGGTTGCACAGAAAAGGCCCTGCTCTGCTCCCCTCCTCACCATCACTGTTTGGGGACACTGACTCCAGGCCATCTCATGCCCCTAGCATTCGCTTGGCCCTGTGGGGCTTCCCCATAGGGGCCGTTTTGCAGTGAGGCCTCTGCTGAATACGTGGGGTCTTGCTGCCCCCTGCCCCTGCATGGGAAGCCCAGCCGTGGCTACGAGAAGGGCAAAACATGCCACTGGGAGGGAAGGGACCGCCTCTGACCCATGCCCTCTGCTCCGCCAGGCGCAGTGGACGAGATGGGCTTCATGCCATTCTACGCCGAGGAGTGCGCCTCCATGCTGGCCGTCACCTTCAGTGGCGGCGACAAGTTGATGCGGAGCATTGTGAGTAACGCGCCGGGCAGCCTTTCCCACTCGCTGTCCCGGGCCTGGGTCAGTAGGGCCCCAGCACAGACCCTGTCAGAGGTTTGGTCTAAAGGAAGGTGCCCAAAGTGCTGCTGGGGTCCCCGCTCTTCCTCCATGCAGCCAGGGGCTCCTTGCTGGAGACTTCCTGTGGAGCCCTCTCCCTCCTGGCGGGTTTTGCCCAGAACATCAGCATTGTCTGCACTGGTGCCGCTGCCTCCTGGAGACAAAGCCGGGGAATCCCAGGGCTGCCTCAATGCCAGCGTCCCCCATAAGTCACCCCAGCCGGTGGGCTGCTTCATCTCCTTGGGATGAGTGTCTCAGCATTGGAGTCTGAGGGCCCTGGCCCTGCCCCTGCCCCGGCAGATGCTCCTGGCCACGCTGGGTTTAGGGCCTAACCATTACCTGTTTCGGTCTCCGGGTGAGCAGAGACTTTCCTCCTGGAGCCAGGCTGGTGGCCTTGCTACTGCGCCCTCCCTGCTGGCTCCCTGCCGTCCCTGGCATCAGTCGTCTAACCTAGAACCCCCTGGACTAGTTTCGTGCCTTCCCAGGGGAGCAAATGACCCCAGCCCAGTTACTGCCTGGTGCAGCTGGAGCCAAGTCCTGCCCCCCCCTGCCCAGACCCTGGGACTGCTCTGCACCATCGCTGCCTGGGGGCAGGGCAGAGACAGCAGCCGGCTCAGAGCTGCCTAACCATGTCCTGCTCCCCGCAGTCCGGCTCAGCCTCCCAGCGGGGCTGAGAAATATTTTTATCCACTTCTTTCTGCCAAAGAACATCTTGTCAACAAAATGTCCCAGAGCTGAACCCTGCCAGGGTCAGGGGACAGCAAGGCCCAGTCCCCAGCTGGGACTCGTTGGCTCGGGGCCACTTCCCCAGGTGGGCTCAGACATGGTACATTCCTCAATTTGGGCTGGCACACCCATGGGACAGGTGCCCTCGCAGGCCCATGCCCCATGGCACTGCCCCAGTGCTCAGAGGTGCAGAGCCAGGCTCTGGAGGGCCATGAGACTGACACTGGTGCAACGAGCCCCTCCTCTGCCCCCAGCTCCAAAGGGGCAGCTCAGAAGCAGGGTCCTTCCCCTTCCAGTGTCCCCAGGCTCTGCTCTAACATGCTGTGCTGGTCTCCTGTCTGTGGGACCTGTGCCCAGGGACGCTGGGAAAGTCTGCATTGGTGACGAGCTGAGCTGGGCTACTTGCAACAGCAGCTGTCCTGCCCCCTTCCTCACCCCCGGTGCATTACTGATCTTTTCAGGGGGGCCCACTTGGTAGCAGAGGGCACAGATGAGGATGTGCCTGCCTCCCAGACTGGGCGGCTGCGGGCTCTCGTTCTCCCTGGCGCATGCAACGTTCTGTGCCTCCCGTAGCCCATCTTGGCAGCCAGCTCCCAGGAGGTCCCCAGCACTGTGCACGGCCTTGCTATCCTGGCTGACGACCTCAGTGTGCTGGAAAGCCAGCTCCTGCATCTGTGCTGCGTGAGCAGGCAGAAGCTCTGCTTCCAGGGACTGGGGTCCTCATGGATCACGGGTCAGCGCTGTGCTGGGGAGGTGAGTCCAGCATGGGTGTCAGATCCTGCCACCCAGAAATCCCTGGGGCAGGGGGCAGGCACTCTTGCACTGCCACCCTCTTCCCATGTGTCCAGGGGGACATGAATTGAGCACAGTGCCTGGTGTCACAGGCTTGGACCAGGCCTCTTCTCGTCCCAGCATGTCCTCCCCACCCCACCCCACCCCACCCCAACACAGCCAGTAGCACATGGAAACTTATCTCTGACTCCTCCATGGTACTGTGGACCTAGGTTTGCATTGGGAAGGGAAACACCTACCACATGGGAGTGGGGGAGAGCTAGGCAGAGCAGGTCACGCTCCTGTGTAGTCTTCTGTCTGAAGCAGCTTCCTGGAGCCAGAGCGAGAGAGAGATGCGGTGTCTCGTTAGCAGAGAGCATGCACAATTTGGCCGTGGTTAAGCCGCTCTCCGGGGCAGGGCTGGGATCCTAGTCGTCTCACTGCAGAACAGGAGCAGACATCGCTCACAGGCACAGCATGGGGGCCGGCGGTTGGCAGTGCAGGCTTCCAAGAGAACGTGCTGCTGCGGACACTGCTGGCACCGCTCCTGGGTTGCGCTGGCTCCAGCCATGCTGTGCTCAGCGGGCACAGGCGGTTGTTTTTGCAAGCTGCTGCTTTCCCACACGCAGGAAGACGGGAAGGGAGAGAGCACTCCGGGGCAGTTCAAAACTATAGTACGTGTAGGATGGACAGAGCCATGACCCCTTCCCCCTCCCCTGGGGCTCAGGCTTCCTTCTCTTCCTGCTGCACCCAGAATGGACTGGGGGAGATGGGGCTAAGAGCACAAATTTGTGCCCCTCCCAGCTAGTGTGGCCACAAATCAGCAGGTCTCAGACCCCCCAGGTGTGTTTTTGTCCTGATGATTCTGAGGGCTGGCACAGGAAATCATCTAGTTTGGGTCATTCCTGGAGTTTACAAGAGCAGGCCAAAGTAGACATATGCTTATCTAGGGGGCTTCAGAAAGAGCTGGTCCTGCCTGGAGCGGGCAGCTGGATGGGGTGACCACAAGGGCCCTGCCAGCCCTTTGCTCTTGGGTTCTGCGGTTCTTCCCTGAGAAAGCCCAGATGCCCATCCAAGGAATAGGTTAGACTAAGACTCCTGCAAAGGAAATGCAACCAGTAACAGAGCTTAAGTTTCCCTTTGCAAATAACTTATACGAAGGCAGCTGGTTTGCACCCCATGGGCGCAAGGGAAGAGGAGACTCCCCCAGCTCGGGGCTTGGCTGGACTTGCCACCCTGGAGCAGAGGGCAGCTCTTCTTTTGCCTGTTCAGGTTCCATCCAGCCTGAGGTCTGCACCCTCTCTGGGGAGGACTCGAATGCCCTTTCTCCCTCAGGAACTGGCTCACAGGAGGCTACTACAAGTGTTGCACTTCTGCCCACAGGCCTGAGGTAGATGCCTCACCTGGCCCAGGCATGACAGACCCCTTCACCCTTTGCAATACCCCACTCAGCAGTGCAGGCAGCTGGCATCTCAGCTGAGCCAGACACATCCCTGTACCGGGAGTGCATTCTCCTGCTTTGCAAATGCCTTTTAATTATCCCTCAGTCAAGACGGAGTTAATGCTTACAGCAGCCATCTCTACTCTTGTTCAGGCTATAAATGTTCTCCGGTTTCCTTAATGGGAAGAATTTAATACGGTCCCTGGCGCGATGCGCATTTCCTACCAAAATGTGTGCTGCTGCCCAGGGTTTCTGGGATAATGCGCAGCCTCTGAGTGCAAGCTGCAGCTGTTAAACAGCTGACAACACGGGCTTGAGCACAACATAAAAGCCAGCAAAGAGGCTCTGGTTCTTGGCAAGGGAGAGCCTGCTGTGAGCAGAGAGATGAACGTGCATGCCAGTTTGCAGCGGGCTTGAACTGGGTTTCAATTAAAGCTGTTTCCTGGTAGGAAGAAGAGCAGAATCATGCCCTTTCACGAGACTTTTCTGATGGCTTCCCTAAGGCTCCCCTGTTGCATTTCGTCTAAGCAGACACTAAGGCCAAACTTGACCTAGTTACACTGCTTTGAAGCCAGAGTAAATCTCTGGCCTGCCATGGCACTCATTCAGAATTACCTTGGGGGGTCTAAAAGCACAATGTGGCCTGATAGCTTGATTATCTCCCACGCTACGACTGGTTTATTGCTCTCCTGGCTGGCAGCTGCGTGTACTTCCCCTCTCGACAAATGACTGACTGTGGCTGTCTTGGTCCCTGTTAGCAGAGCACTCACGAAAGGCATCTGAGAAAACTTGACGCTTGAGTGCAGGCGTAGTCGTGTCAAGTGCACGGCAGCTCCTCCCCAGCCCCCGTGGAAGGTGCCGATTGCGACGGCACTTAGGCCTGTCTGGCTACAAGCGTGAGCGGTCCTGCCAGCGTCAGCAAGAGCGCTTGCCCCCATAGAGCTCGGCCATGTGGAGTTCCCTGGTGACTGGGAGGGGGTGGGGGGCTGCTGGAGGAGCACACCATCCCCCCTGCCATGCCATCAGCTGCTGCTCTGTTCCTGCATGCAGCCCCTGCCCCAGAGTCCGGCTGCCCATGCTGGAGGGCCCCACGGTGCTCAGTGCGGGACAAGAGGCAGCCAGGTGAGCAGGGAAGCCACTGCGTCCTGGGCCTGGCGCGCTGTACCATACGTTGGCTGTGAGGTGCTCGGCTTTGCCGCTCTAAGGGCCAGGGCAGGGCTGTGCTCTCCCTAAACGCAGTGCGCCGGGCGAGTGTCTGCCTGGCATCTGTCCTCTGCAGACATGTGCCACATGCTCTGAGCCCGTCTGACTTCTCCTGGGCCCTGAGGGCATAGCCGTGGGTATGGCTTGGTGCAGAGGACGGTCCTGCTGGCCCGTAGCCAAAGCCCCTGCTCCTGGTGTGGAGGGTTCACTGCTCTACCTCACAAAGCCCTGGGAAGCCCGGCCCTGTGCTGGGGATGGGGAGTTAAGGCCCAAAGACTGGAGCTGGGATGCTGGGTGCTGTTCCCAGCTCTGCTGCTCTCCCCACGACTCTGGAGACAAGCTGACAGTGGCTGATAGGTGCTTTCTGGAGACAGACGTGCTCTTGGCCCTGCTGTTGGGAGGGGAGGCTGCTGTTGCCAGGCCCCAAAATGTCCCTGGATGCTTTTCCTGGGGTAGGGAAGGAGGGGAGAACCATGCTGCAGTGCTGGGGGCCGGGGGAGGGCTCATTCCCCCAGGGGATCCCTGGATTCCAGCTGGGGCTTCCTGCTGTGAGTCCTACCCTGATGTCCCTGCATGGAGCTTCCCAACCCCTGGCCCTGCACGGCTGCTGCCCCATCAGCTTCAGCCTTCTTGGGGCCCAGGGAAGGCACCAAACCTGAGCTGGGAGGCTGGGGGCCGTGTTCTCAGCAATGCCGGCAGGCTTGGTGGCATGCAATGGGATGAGCTGCTCCTCAGCCATACCTCCCTGCCTAGGGTAGGCAGCATGTGCCCCTTCCATCAGAACAGCTATAGCAGCCCAGCCCTCCGGGGCACTGTGAGGACTGAGGCATCTGACAGGCAATGTCTCTTTTCTTTTCAAAGGTGACAACAGACTGGGACTTGAAGAAGGGCACGGGCTGCACGGAGGGCCACACAGGCACATCGGCTGCTGCCCCACTGGCAGCTGGCATGATCGCCTTGATGCTCCAGGTGCGACCCTGCCTCACCTGGCGGGATGTCCAGCACATCATTGTCTTCACAGCCACAAAGGTGAGCAGACAGCCCTGCAAGGGAGGCTTCTTCTCTGGCTGGGGCTGTGGGGAGCTCAGGGTGGCTGTTCTGCCCCCTCCACTTCTCCATGTTCCTGACCTGCCCTGGGTCCCACCGGGAATGTGCAGGAGGCAGGCAGCAGTCTGGTCCGCCAGGATGACTGGCGGGGTGTTTGTCCAAGGCAGCTTTGGGTCTGACAGAGCCAGAGCACCGCTAGGCTGCGACCTGGGGCAGCACAGGCCAGGAGGGTGACTTTGCCATGGGAAAGCAGGAAGGCCCAGGAAGCCCTTGGCTGCTTACTACTACCAGGGGCCTGAAGCAGAGGGGGCAGAGCTCCCACTGAACACAATCCTTACAGTCCCTGATCCGGGGCAGCCCCTGCTGCCTCCAGTGTGGCCTGGGCTGCAGGAGGAAGCAGCAGGCGCTGAACGAGGCACTGGGATGTGGCGCACGGACAGGGTTTCTTTGTACGTGGGGGTGCCTGTGTGTGCACCCCCCGGTTTATGTTATGCGGCAAGATAAAACTTGCTTTGACAGGCAGCGATTTTTTCCACAGTTGGAAGCAGCCACTTCCAAAGTGCCAGGCCTGACCAGTAATGGGAACCAGACCTGATCCGCCTGCGGGTTTCAGAGGCTTTAGTTCTTCCTTTCAAATAAGGCCTCTTGCCTCCCTGCGGGCTGCGGGAACTGAGGGCACCGGGCACCAGTTGTGGTGTTTCAGAACAGAGGCAGCGCTGCCCTGGGTGCAGCTTGTTCTCCTTGGACACGGTCGTGGGGAATCCTGACTGTGCCACATTCGTGTTACTCACCCTCCACCCATCTGCAGCTCAGGCGGGGGGTTTTGCTGGGCCAGGCTGGCTGGTATCTGTGCGAGCCCACTGCAGGGAGCTGGCAAGAGGTGGCGGGGAGGGTACATCCCAGTGCCCTGTCCCTGTGCGCAGTCAGGCAGCTACCTGACTTGGCCATGCATGGGAGAGACGTGTGCCCCCCACACCAGGTCAGCCTCTCCAAGGTGACATGGCCCCTCGGTTGTCTTGCAGTACGAAGATCATCATGCCGTCTGGGACACCAACCAGGCCGGCTTCAGTCACAGCCACCAGCATGGCTTCGGCTTGCTCAACGCCTGGAGGCTGGTCAATGCTGCCAAGGTAATTCACAGCTCCGGCCCCCCCGCAGGGCTGCTCCATATGGCCTCCCAGAGAGACAGTGCTGGGGGGGCCCTGGCTGCTCCTTCAGGGCAGACCCAGAAAGGCAGGGCTCCCGTGCCCGACTACCCCCCGCAGCATGGCCCAGAGCACGGGCTGGCTGCGCCGTGCTTCTGACTTCCACCAGCAGAGTCGCTCCCTCCCTCCCGGCTGCAGAGCCTGAGAAGGGAAGCCCCAGCCTGACCTCAGGTCCCCGGGGGCCTGCAGCCTGGCAGTGCCAAGCACGCAGTGACAACAGTGCAGCCATGGCAGGGAGTTCAGCTAGCCCCATACACCCTGCCCTGCAGCCCCTGCTTTGCCAGACCTTGCCGAGCTCCTCTCCCACGGGCTCCGGGGTCGGGGGTCACCTTCTAGGGTAGCCAAGGCCTTTGCACCCGGGTGGGCAGCCCCCGCAAGGAGGCTGCTTGGGGGATGAGGTAATGAGCCCTACAGCAGAGCTGGCTAACCTGCATCCTCAGAGCACTATATATAGCCATGGCCGGAGCCTTGTTTATGGGACCCGACAGGTTTGATTCATGGCCCCGGGAGGCGTGGCAGCAGCATGCGGAGGCAGCAGCGCCTGCCCCTCCTCCCATGGCAGGCAGCACCGAGTGCCTGAGCAGGGGGATGCAGTGGTCTCTGCAGGCAGCAGCGGGGCTAGGAGAGCCACGATGGGGCTGTGGAGCTTGGAGCAGCAGTGGGGAGTCCTGACTTCTAGGTCCTGTGCCCAGCTCTGCCACTGATTCACTGTGAGGCCTGAGTCCAGTCCCTTCAGCTTCCTCCCCACCCTCCGCCGCATTCCCTCTGCTCTGGGACAAGCTCTGGCCGCCTCTGCCAGGCGGGTTGGTACCACTTCCCTTCACCTGGCCTCTGCTGCTCTAGCCTCACACTCAGGGCTTTTCTCAGCATCCCAGGGTGTGACACCTCACTCCCAGGCCCCACATATAAGTCCCCACATCAATAGGCTGCCGCTGCTCACCAAGCTGCTGCAAAGTGCTTAACAGCAAGGATACGGAGGCCTGCAATGGGGGCATCAGTGATAAGGCTGGTCTGAGCGAGACCCAGGCTCAGAGGCTCGTGCCTGAGGCTGAAGGGTCGGAGCGAGCACAACCCAGGGTGGAACCCACACATGCCCCCGCTTCCTTTCACAGATCTGGGAGTCCGTCCCGTACTTAGCGTCGTACGTCAGCCCCATGCTCAGGGAGGGCAAGGCCATCCCCATCCTCCCACAGAGGCTCGAGGTCTCCTGGAACGGTGAGTGTTGCCCGGCTCTCTGTGCAGCCCTTTCTGTGGGCACGGTGGCTTTGAGACGCAGGGCCTCCAGACTCATGGGGCACCTGCCCTGGAGCCTCCGAGTCCCTCCCCACCCTGCCTGCTGGGCACCAGTCTGCAAGGAGCTTGGGAGGGGCAGAGCCAGGAAGAGGGAAGTGGGGAGCACAGCTGACTGCAGCCACATCACTGTTGTCCTGAGCAGGGCCTTCAAAGAGGTCCTGTGTGGTCTGCAGGTGAGGGGCCTCTTCCTCCAGTCCCATAGGCCAAGAGAGCAGGGGGTAGCCGGGAGCCCCAGGGAAGAGGGGATCTCTGGCTACCGCAGAGCCTGCACGGTTAAAGCAGACCAGACCAGACTTGTGCTGCCTTTGGAGGAGGCTGCTGCTTGGCCTCGAGACAGGGGCATTGGCTGCAGGCTGCACTGGAGGGGGATCATGTGCGGCAGCTCCAGACACACCAGGGACAGGAGCAGGGGCCATGCTGGAGACAGGCCAGGACAAGGAGGGGTAGCAACGGCAGGTGAGCTAGGCAGGGGCAGCACCGCTGGAGCTACAGGCAGCACAGGGCAGCTAGCCAGGCTGGCTCAGGGCAGGCCCAGGAGCGTTTCAGTCTGGGAATGAGGGAGTTAAGTGTCCTGATCCTTCCCTCTTCCCCTGGGTTACTGCTGCCTCCAGAGGGACCGTTCCGCTTGTTGATCTGCTCCCTCTCCCGGCACACGATAAGGCTAATGAACGGATGTCTTTGGGAAACCAGAGAGGGGAGTGAGTGCTCCCAGCCGTGGGGCGCTGGGCCATAGCCAGTCCAGCTCGCTCGGCGGCTTTGACCATGTTAGGTAATGCTACAGCTCCTGACTTGGCTGTCCTGTCCGCACAAACAAGGCGTCTCTCCGAGCCGCTACTGGGGGGAGCCTGGCAAGGAAAAGGAGCTGGCATGGTGCAGGCCAGCCCGGGGCTGGTGGGGCTCCATTGCCCCGTGCCCTTCAGAACAAGCTGCCTTTGTCCCAGGGGAGTTGCCCTCACTGCCTGCATCACTGCACCACGTGGGCACCAGCACTGCTGCTCCCTGCCCCTGCAAGATGACCCCCATTGCTAGCCCTGGTGGGAGTCCATGGAAGGCTGCCGCTGAGGCCTCAGGACCCCCGATTGACCCTGGGCCTCCTGCGTTTAGCCCACAGTACCTATGTGGGGCGGCACAAGCAGGCTGAGGGATTGCCCTCCGACCCAGGGATGAGCCCAGGGCTCTGCCATCTCCAGGCCCGTGGTGCCAACCTTGGGTTGCATAGCCTCATGCTGCCTGGACCAGCAAGGGGCAGGGCTGGAGAAGCTGGTCCGAGGGTCTCTCCCGGGTGGCAGCAGTTGAGTAAGGAGCTCAGCGTTACAGCCCCAGGGGCGGTGCCCCAAGGCCTGCACAGCGCCGGGGCCGGGTTTGTCAGTGGAGTCGAGCTTGTTCATGTCTCGCTCAGAGCTCCAAGTTCATGGCGAGGGGAGGAACAGCCCGGCCAGCTCTGCACGCATTTGCCCTAAAAGGAATTGTGCGGCCGGGAGCAGCATCACAAACAGGCAGCTGGGAAAAGCCAGCGCTCTGGGAGCAGGGCCGAAGGAATGCAAGAGGCTGCCGGCGGCCCAGGTACCGCAGGGATCTCAGAGCCGACCCTTTGCTCTCTTAGGCACCAAGGGTGTCTGGAGCTGCAGCGGGGGGTTGTGAGACACAAGTGGCCGCATGGCTTCATGACTAATGAGCACCATTAGTGAGAGCAGCCCGCAGGAGCTGTTGAGGCCCTGCTCATTCCCGTAGCTTGGAGACAAGCAGTAGCTGCCCCCTGCTCCCTGGTCGGGGTTGTGGGGGCGGCCAAAGGACTAGCTTCACCGAGCTGCTGCACCAGCTCCTGACATCGGACTCGCCAGCTGCAGAGGTGGCGGCTCCATCGCTACATGGGCTGGCAGCTGGAGTGAGGGCTGGGAGTCAGGACTCAGCTTGGCAGCTAGCTCCCTAGGCCAGTTGCTCGCAGCCTGGAAGGGGAAACAAGGCCTAGTTCTTGGGGCACAGTGAGGCTGGGAGGGCTGAGGTCGGCCCTGTGCGTGGGGCCCCCGGCCAACATGGGGCCCAGGATTAGCTCCTGGTGGCCAAAGATCAAAGGTTGCTTGTGTCCCTGAATCTCCCGGCAGCCCCCTGCCCGCTCTGGCATTCGCAGACTCTGAGTCAGGACTCTGCTGTCGCTGCCCATCCCACGTGCACGGCATCGAATCCGGATCTAATCCAGACAGGGAGGCATGCAGGGAGGGGCTGCCACAGCCAGGGCTGCGGGGAGGGGCACACAGGACAGTGCGGGAAAGCTTCTCATGGCCCCCGCATCCGTGCTAACGTCTCAGAGGGCAGGTCCATTGCCCTGGCCTGCGGTGCTGCCAGGTGTCTGGGGGGCGTCTATCGTTCACTAACCCTCGTGCCACCTGCTGCCAGCCCCCTCTGGAGTGGTGGCCCCATGTTCCAAGCCCCTTCACCCCATCCCCATTGCCCTCCTGACTTCACTGCCCCTCACAGCCACCAGCAGGAACCATCCGACTCATTCCTGTGATGCTGTTGTGCAGCACTGGGGGCATAAGGGATTTTACTCCAGAGACAAACCTGGTCTGTGGGACCAGCTTCCTGCAGGGACAGGCGGCACGTCCTGCGCTCCACCTCCTGCACCTGGGGTGCCCAAGCTCCTCAGTGCATGTGGGAAAAGCAAGGCATGCATGAGCTTCCCATGAAGTCACTGCGCATCAGAGCTGGGGGCACAGCACACTTGGAGCTGCTTGAATAAGCATCCAATTTACTCTTGAACACCTTCCTGCCCTTCGAGCGGGGGGCTGGACTCGATCTTCCGAGGTCCCTTCCAGCCCTAATGTCTATGAAATCTATGCTTCCCCTGGGGCTGGCCAGAGCCTGAGAAGGCCGTCCAGGCCCCAGGGCTGACCGATGGGTGGCTGCGCTGGGTGGAAGCTCTGTTCGTGGCCCAGGGTGGAGGGAGGGAAGAGAAGGAGCAGGAAGGCCTCACCAGTGCCGGCAAGCTGCCCACCCTGCTGGGCATCTGGGAACGCCCCAGCCAGCCCCCTCTTCCCTCTTCCCCAGTCACCCTGGCTGACCTGGAGCTGTCGGGCATGAGGACACTGGAGCACGTGGCGGTGACGGTCACCATCACTCATCCTCGCCGTGGCAACCTGGAGATCAGGCTCTTCTGTCCCAGCGGCATCATGTCGCTGATTGGGACCACGCGGAGCATGGACTCGTAAGCGTGGCAGGCATTGGGTTGGCTGATGGGAGTGGCACACCCATGGAGGGGTGGGGGGATGTTTCCTTGGGCTGTGGGGACTCCCATGTATCTCCTGCTCTGCTGGCCCTGGGGAGCTCAGTTCAGAACCTGGCAAAGCCCGCAGATCTGCCAGAGGTGGGTCCAGGTGCGGAGCAGGCTCCTGCACCGCACTGGGGCAATGAGGGTGAGGTTTGCAGTCATGCATCTCTCCCTGTTCCCAGCCAGTGTCCAGTGTAACCCTTGCCACAGGCCACCTCTGAGCTCCTTGTAACCCAGCCCCCAGGGAGCGGGGCTGGCATCTGTGAGCTGCTTTGTGTGCTTGAGCAGCGCTGGCTTGGTGGCAGCTCGCCCTGTCGCTGCCCTGCAGACACAGCCTGGGGTCTCACTCTGGCCCCACAGTCTCCCCTGGCTCACACCAGGCCCTGTGTAATCGTCCAGGGGTGCCCAGTCCCTGCACCAGGGCAGCTGGGCCTGTCACACCCCAGTCACCAGTGGCGGTTTCATATTTGTGTCTTTCCTCTTGCAGGGACCCCAGTGGCTTCGCTGACTGGACCTTCTCCACAGTGCGCTGCTGGGGAGAGGAGGCCCAGGGCACCTACAGGCTTGTCATCAGGGACACTGGTGAGTCCCTTCCTTCAAGACCAGAAGGGTCCAGGCAGGGTTTCTCCAGCCTTGTGCTCTGATATTGGATGTGGACACCTCCCGGCATTGCCCTGGGCTCATGGCGGGGCGGGGGGAGACTGAGGGGGTGCATGACCCCTGCTATCCGCTGCCCGCAGTATTGCAGGGAAAGCAAAGAGCCCATCCCCAAGCCAGTCACAGGCTTTCCAAGCAGAGGAGTGCCCACGTGCATGTCCTCCCATGGCCTGCTCTGGGTGCAGGCTCCCTGCTACCTCTTGGGCCATCAGGAGCCCTCTGCTTTGGCTGGGAAACAGCAGCACCAGGCAGCGCCTGGGCCCAGCTGGCAGCATTCGGCCTGACCACGGGACCTTGCTTCCCCAGGGGACAAGACCCTGCCAGCAGGGATGCTGAAGCAGTGGCAGCTGACACTATATGGCTCTTCCTGGACCCCAAATGAAATGAAGCAGCGGCAGAGGTAGGCTGCTGGCCTCACGGGAGCCCTGTCCCCATCACCCACCTGTGTCCTGGATGCCCTGCTTCCTCAGTGGCTGCTGGTGGAGGGGGTGGTTCATGCGGGTGTTGGGGCCGCGGGCAAAGGCGCCTCATGGAGCTCACCCCAGGCCGGCGGAGCTGTGGCCACCCCTGAGCCAAACTGCTCTCACTAGCCCCAGGACTGCACGGGCCATTAACCAAGTTGCTCAGGAGTGCTCAGTGCCCCTGTGGGGTATCTGCACAGCCTGCAGCTCGGCATGGCTGGCAGGTTGTCCCAGCATCCCGGGGATGTAGCACCAGCCCTGGGTGAGGGGAGACCGGGGTTCATCCCATCTGAAGGGCGAGCAGAGGCTGAACCCTGGGAACATTAGCTCCTGGCCTGGGAAGCTGCATGGGGGAACTGGCTTGGCAGGCAGGGTCAGGATGGGGCATGGAGCCCTGCAGGGGCCTGCCATAGACTTTGCAGGGGGCTGGTAGCAGCCAGATGTGTCTGGCCCTGGGAGGGAGGGTGACCCCCCCCCTGCCCCAGAGGCAAGCATGCACGGGGCCTTTCCCACAGGGAGGGGAGGCAGTGGTGGCCCTGCCCCTGACTGCAGGTGTCTCCTGCCTTCAGGCTGCTGGAGGAAGCCATGAGCGGGCAGTACTTGAACAATGGCTTCTGCCTGCCGTGCCCCCCGGGACTGGACATCCCAGAGCAGGAGCCGTACACCATCACCACCAACACCCTCAAGGTAGCACTGGGCGGGTGAGGTGGGACGGGTGGGTGCCACGTCCCCAGCCTGGCTGGAAGCAGTGATTGGGGCTGCATGGCCGGGGCTGAGCACAGGGGAGTGCAGCTTCCCCTGGGGTCACCAGCTCCATCCCCACACATCAGTGATCAGAAGGATTGGTGCCTGACCCGGCTGCTGCCCCAGGGGAGAGGAGATTGGGGCAAGAGGCTCCCAGACCTTCCCCGGTGCTCCTCAGTGTTCTCCTGGGAATTCTCCCCCTTCCCCGGTTCACGTCCTCGCTGCCCCACTCTCCTGGGCAGGGGCTGAAGGCGATGCTCTGTGGCTCATGAAGACATGAGGCTTCTCCTCAACCTCCTGCCTTCAGGCCAGCCACAGTTTGGACAAGCCAGGGTCCCTGGGAAGCAAGACCGGTTCTCCTAAGGCCCAGCACAGGCCCAGTTCCTCCTGGCGGTGCCACCCCATCACACCCTGTGTAGCAGACACAAGTCATTGGAAAAGGGGGTGCCAAGAAGGGCTGAGGACCCCCTCTTCGGGCTGTGTCTCCCTTTGGGGAAGCCACCACTGCAGCAGGCTCGGCTGTGACCTGCTGGCGTGACAGGGGTCGGGGTGGCAGGACACAGGGGTCTGGGATCTGGCTGTTCTGCTTGGGGGGTCTCACGAGGCTTTCTCCGCCCCCATTGCAGACACTCATGCTGCTGGGCTGCTTCACTGTCTTCTGGACTGTCTACTACATGCTGGAGGTGTACCTGACCCGGCACCAAGTGGCCTTTGACCTGACGTGCCATAGCTCCTCCGCCTGCAGGTGGTACCACCGGGGCGGGAAGCACCGGAGCCTGGAAGATGGGCTGGAGATGGAGTCTGTCCTGCTGTACACAGAGAAGGACATGGAGGAGGTCGAGGTGGAGGCTGACCCCCCCATGCCCAGCCTGGGGACACAGGGGGATGAGGCTGGCTGGAGCCCGCTGGCCCCCAAGTTCTCCACCAGTGAAAGAACCATGGGCTTTCATGAGGGGGCTCGTGCGGGTCCAGGATACTCTGGCCGGGACATGGCCTCTGAGCTCCTCTTGGCTAACAGGGAGCAGCAGACTTGCTAGCTGGGGCTGAGGACCTGAGGTGCTGGCTGCACCCTCGCCTGGGCACCAGGCACAGGGCTGTTACCGACCCAGCTCAGCCGCAGCCCGCTGCCGCTTACTGCAGGGAGGCGGGCGCTGGTGCGGCTCAGGGGCTAGCGCAGCATGGAGATGCGAAGCAAAGGAGAGGCCCTGAGGGCCCCACGTTCCCCAGTGCAGGAGCCTTGCTCTCTCCTTGCACAAGCTAAACAAGCCTTAAACCTTTTACTGAGGAGTCTGCCAGGCAGCGACACTCAGGGCTCCCTGTCCGTGCTCAGCGCAGCCCTGGCCCGCCCCCCGGGCGGCCGGCAGGAGCCTGGCTACAGGTAGGATGCTCTCCTAGAGAGGAATGCTGGGCCCTGGAGCTGAGCTCCCCGCTGCGGTGCGGTCTGGCTGTGCGTGGCACAGGTGTTGCTGTCTGTCCACCTGTTTGTCTGTCTCTGCACACTGTTAAGCCGTTTGCTTTGTTCTGCTCCGTTTGTTGTTTGCTGCACGGGTGGCTTGGCCCTGGCCTGCTGGCCCCACTGTGAGGGCAGGGAAGGCTTTTGCCCAGCCCCTGCTTGGCCCCCAGCTGCCGCTGAAGGGCTCCCAGTGACTGTGAGCGAAGTCCCGGGGGTGCTTTCTCCCAGCCCTGTGACTGTGAGGCTGATGCTTCTGTTGGAAGAAGTGCTGGGTGGGCAGACCTGGGGACAGCAGCAATTCTCCTGGGGGGACATGGGGGCCCTGGCTGGCTCTCGGGTGCGCCTGGTATCAGGAGGGAGCCCCTGGCAGAGTTGTAGTGGCTTGCCTGGCTCTGGTAGCCAAAGCAAAGCCAAGTGCCTGGGACCGGCAGGCTGGCGCCCTGCTCCCCCTCCCTCTGCAGCCACCCCAGCTCCTGCCAGGGTGCCTGGGATCTGCCCACTGGCAGCAGCAGCCTCGGGGCTCCGTGGGTTCCCCCCGGATGGGTTCCCAGTTGGCTCGCGTGCCCCCGTTGGACCAAAGTCAGAGGCAAGAAATAGCACTTGCCCCTTTTGCAACCGCAGCAGCTGCCCGTGTTCCCCTGTCTCTCCCCCCTCCTCTCGCACACACTGGCCACCCCTGTCTGAGCAGACGGGCCGACAGGCTTGGCTCAGCCAGGGAGGACGTTGCGGCCTCGCGTGGCTCCAGCCATGACCCACCCTGCTGCCCTTGTGCCGCGCTGTCCCCTTCTCCCAGGAGCAGTGGTGCCTGGTGGGCAGCGGGGACAGGCAGGGTCTCAGCGACGGTCACGGCACGGACTGGGTTTCTTTTCTAAGAGTTGGGGTTTGATTTTTTAACAGCGAAGCTCTTTCTGTGCCGCTTTCCAAAATAAACTCTTCTAAAAACTGGCCTGGTGCTGAAGCCTCTGCACTGCAGGTAGGTCCGTCTGCCCCGCTCGTCCACCCCCAGTGCCACACGGCACAAGCCCTTTCAGGGGAGAAAGCACCGCGGCTCGCTTTTCCCCAGGCCCGTGTATCTGAGGTGCTGTGCGCTGGCAGAGCCAGGCAAGGCTGGAGACAGTGGGCTCAGCACCTCTAGAAATCAACCCCAAATGGTGCCAGTTGCCCACTTGAGATGGGCACAGGTCGCTGGCAGAGCTGATCCAAGAAGGTGTCAGCCCCTGTGCAGCAAAGGGATGCCTGCCTCTGGCCTGGCCACTGGCTGCTTACTTAGCACTAGCTCTGATCCCGCAAAATGTTCAGGACCAAGGTCTGATCGAAGTCCTGGCACGCTGGGGGCTGCTCTAACCCGCGAGGTGAGGCGCTGCGAGAACTCAGCACTGCGTCCCCCCGGCAGGATGGTGGGATGGGAGCAGGCTGCCCCCAGGCTCTCGCCGACAGGACCCAAGCCACTGGGGAACAGCATGACAGGATCGAGCGTGCCAAGGTGCTTAACCACCCCAGAGCCAAAACGGGCCGGGGCATCGGCTGCCCTGCGCTGCAGGCAGTGGGAGGCTGCAGCCAACAGCCCTGCTCTTCCAGCCCCTGGAGCTTGAGCAACGAGGAGGAAACGCTTTGAGCGACTGCAGGGTCTTTTAGAGACGCCCGTGCGTCTCGCCCTGCTTTGCTGGACCCCAGTCGGCCTGTCCTGCCTGCCCAGCCCAGGGGTGAGCGCTGGGACTCTGGGGCAGCGGTGCATGCTCAAGGCTGAAGCGACAGGATGAAGTAGTGAAAACGGAGCAGAAAAGGACACGGGAAGCCACCGAAGAGTCACAACCTTTCTTTTTAATTCTGACAAAGGAAAAAAAAATACAAAACCGAGGCTTATGTCACCCCCTCCCTTGGCAAGGATGGACAGCGTTCGCTTTCGCTTGTGCAAGGTTTATTGACAGGCTGGGCAGCTGCACGGGCGCTACAGGGATGTGCCGGTCGGGCGGCCTGCTTGGGGCGCGGGCCGCGGTGGCCGGCGGGTGCGACAGCCAGCTCTGCAACGCAGCAGACAAATGTAGCTGGAGGCACGGAAGCGGCGGGGAGCGAAGCTGGGAGCATGCACAGGTCTGGGGGGCCCTGGGGACGCAGCACGTGGCCAGGGCTGGCAGCTGATCGGGGGCCCCCGCCTCCCTCCACGCGTCGCCGGCGGGCTGGGGGGTTGTTTTTCGAGAAGCTTTTTCAATAAACATCCAATCGACGTCGATTCAGTGCGGTCGGGGGCATCGGGGCCCCGGTGGCTTGGTGCGTTGGCCGCGGCTGGGCTCGGGGGGAGGGGGCGGAGGCCAGTTCCTGGTTGGGGTGGGGTTGGTCGGCCTGGCTCCGGCGCCGTCTAGCTGATGATCTGCCGGGGCCGCCCGTAGCCCGTCATGCCCGACTGCGTGGCCCCCTTGTTGCTCCCCATCTGCAGGCCGATGATGTTCTTCCCCTCCTTCATCTGGTTGTCGCTGAAGTCCCGCTTGTGCTCCTGGGCTTTCCTGCGGGGCGAGAGGCAGCCTGTGACTCCCCTTCCTCCCCGGCTCTGCGTCCCCACTGCCCTGCGCGGCCCCCAGCTGGGGCCGGCTCCCCCCACCTCGGCCCGGCTGCAGGAGGGGACACTCACTTCATGAACCAGGACGGGTCCCCGTGGTAGTGGCCATCGTTCTTGGTCACCGCCAAGCTCCCCAAGGCCATCAGCGTTCTCTGCACGGCCGCCATGTCCTTGGCTGGGGAGGGAACCGCAGGTCATGAGCAGGGGCCAGGATGCATGGTGCTTGGGGCGCGTGTCGCTGTCCCCCTCCCTGCAAGACGGCTCCCACCCATGCGTGCCCTGAGACCCGGCACTCCCCAGCCCGCTGTACTTGCAGGGAGCGCTCGGCCTAGGCAGCATATCCAGGCCCGTGGCCGCGGGGGCTGCACTCCTTATAATCCCGGGCTCCGGGACAGAGCTGCGCCTGGGGCAGGCACGGGGAGCCCCGCTCCCTCTGGGACTCCCCCTGGCCTGCCTGCCGGTCCCAGCCCATCGCTGCTGCTAGAGGGCTTCTGCCTTGTGTCTGTGCACCCGGGGCCCTGATCAAGCCCCAGCGCTGATGGTGCCTCTGCGGATCTACCCGTCCCTGGGGCATTGCCCACGGTGCCCCCGGTTTCCGACCCCCCACCTTCAAAGAGGTCGACAGTCTGGAACATGTCCGTTTTCACCACGCCGTAGTCCTCGGCCGCCTTCAGGAACTGCGCCACCTGCTCCATCTGCTTGAAGACCATGCTGGGAGGGGTGTCGGGGACCTTGATGGGCTTTGAGCCCTCTGGGTAGAGGCTGTTCACCAGCTTGCTGAGGACCTGCAAGCAGAGGGGGCAGGATCAGCTCTGAGGGCCTGGTCTTTGCTGCCCTGCAGGAGAGCTGTACCGATTCCCCAGCCCCTGGGGCCGAGGTGCAGCCCGGCACCGAGGTCTGGCCGCACTTACCACGCCGTTCTTCAGCCAGACCTGGAAGCCCAGCCTGCCGCGCTCGGGACGCCCCACGCCCGCCCCGCACTGCGCCACGATCCACTCCACCAGGCGCTCCTCCAGATCGTCATCGTACTTCTTCTCGATCTTGGACTGCACATCTCTGCTCATCCCATAGCTGGGGCCCTTGTTTGCCATGTTCACTCGGGGAACGAGACCTGGGGCAGGGGGGAAAGGCCGGGGTGAGCTCAGCCCGTCTGCATGTCCGCAGCGGCTCCGACCCAGACAGCACCTCCCGCCAACCCCGCACGCGGGCGGCCAGGCACGAGCGAGGAAAGGCAGCGCACAGACACTTCCTGCCCAAACTTGCCCCTGGGGCCTGAAGCGCTGTCTCCGGGAGCCACTGTCCAGCTTACGCCGCCTTCTGCCCCCGCGGTCTCTCCGGGCACTGCCGGAGCTGTGCTCCAGCCTAGGAGGCACCAGCAGGGCATGGGAACAGGCCACAGGCTAACCCGGGGAGCATCTGTCCAGCGGTGCCGTCCCCACATTGCACCAGCAGCCCCTGGATTTTGGCGACCACCTGCATCCTCATGGGCAGTGGCAGCCTGAGCCCCGTGGGCATTCACAGCTGGAATGGGAGCCCCTGTCCCCGTGCCCACCAGGCACCCCCAGGCACCGTGGACAGTGGCTTCTCATGCTCCACGAGAGCAAGGGTCTGAGCCGGCCCCAGCTCAGGCCGCACTCCCCAGGAGTGTGGTGCCCGGCCCTCCCCTCAGATGGGCACGGAGGCAGCACATGGGCCAGGTCAGTCCCTCCGGGGACCCCATGCCACAGGCATGGCTGGGCCCCGAGGGCAGGTAGCGGCCACAAGAGGCCCGTGAGCTGCACCAGGCAAGTGGGGCCCGAGCGAGGGCCCAGGCTAGACAGGGCGTGGGCACAGATGGGCATGTGCCAGCGCAGCCGTAGCTCTGCTGGCTTGCTGCCCGGTGCAGGGGCAGCCCCAGGAGCGCAGCTTCCCGGAGCCGGGCCCTGAAGTCTCTGCCTTGAGCAAACGGAGCCATTTCAGCATTGTGTCCGATGCAGCTGCTGCTCCCCGAGCTCCGGCATGTCTCTGGGCTCGGAGCCATCCTGCCCTAGGGCCCTCCGGCCTGCCCCGCTACCACTGCTCATTGCACATTGCCCAGCAGCCACCGCCTCTCCAGCAACATGCGCACGCTGGCACCGTGCCACCCTGGCAGGCAGGCATGTGGCCGCAGGAGGGGCAGCATCCCTGCACCACGGAGGGTGGAGCTGCCTCCTTCCTCCCTCCCACGAGAGACCTGTGCTTCCCGGGGCACTGCTCCCCGGGGCACCGCTTGGCACTGCAGCCACCAACCTGCCCACCCGCAAGAGCCTGGCGAGGAGGGAGGCTGTGCGGAGCCAGGAAGCCCCTGAGCATCGCCAGCTTGCAACCCCGTTGCCTTCCCGTCTAGCGCCAGAACACGGCTCCGCATGGCGGGACCGGACCCTGAAAGCAGCCCTACCCCTGCCTGCCCACTAACCCAGGGCGCAGGCTGAGACCTAGCAGTGAACCAGGAGGGACTGCAAAGCCCCTTGTGCCGCCCCACGCCAATCCTGCCACGCAGCATCGCTGGCAGGCTGGTCCCCGAGGACGGAGCCTAAACCGGACGGCTGCACCCGGGGAGACAAGCGTCTGGCTGGCCTGCATCCCCCTGCAGCCTGGCCTGGCCTGGCCTCCGGCCGCCCTCCCTGGCACACTTACGAGGAGCTGCTGGGCTGCGCGGACGGACGGACGGACGATGCTCTGCCTGGAGCCTGGAACTGCGAGCGTGGGAGGCTGGGGCTGCGCTAAAAGGCCAGCTCCTCGGACAGTGATGTCACCACCGCCCCATCCCCTCCCCTCCAGGAGCAAGCCAGTGGCTCTTGCCCAGGCACCATATTTGGGGAAAGACTCCAAAAGACAGTGACTAAGGAGCATTCCCCGCATGCCTGAGACCCGGCCGGGGTGTGTGGGGCAGGGGCGAAGCCAGGCCCTGGCTCTGAGGAAGTGACTCCTTTTATAGACAGGAGCTCGGAGGAAAACCTGACTTCATGGCTGGTTTTCCCCTGCGCTCACGCTCCCCGGGCCGGCAGGGTGGGGGTGGCCAGCAGGGCTGGGCCAGGGGCAGGCTCAGCAAGTCCCCCGGTCCCATCTGTGGGCGAAGCCTCCCGGGGAGGACGGCCGGCCCCGGCGGGTCCCTGCTGCCCGTGCACCCAGGCTCCCCCAAGCAGCCTCTGCTCTGCTCTGGGGGGCAGGTTTTCCTCTGCGAGCCCTGCCCAGGCCCCGTGCGGTGATAGGAAATCAGCTCCTCCCAAAACGAGGAGTCGGGATGGGGAAGCTAGAGGGACCAGAGCTGCTTTCAGGGGTGGCTGCCCTGCCCGGGGCATCCCAGCACTGCCCAGCGGCTCTGATCCCTGTGGAGTCACGCCGGGAGCGACGGAGCCACGTGCACGCCAGG